TTTCTTTTCTAACAGAATGCGGAAAGACTGTAATCCAAACCACAGTAGTGGAAGCTGTGAGGAAGCCAGCAGGAATGGATCTTCCAGCAGTAATCCAGCTAATAATTCAAGCCAGAGCAGCAGCTCCCAGCATACAAGGAACAGCACACCCCAATTGCACCCTTCCCTTCAGGTTGCTCAATTCTCAGGTACTTATCTTCAGTTGCATTTATTCCCTGGCAGAAGGGTATTATGTTGTTGTTAGTTGCAAAGTCATGTCCTACCTATTGTGACCCATGGACAACGTTCCCCCAGGCCTTCCTGTCTTCTACCATCCTCTGGAATCCATTTAAGCTCACGTCGACTGCTTCAGTGACTCCATCCATCCATCTCATTCTCTGTCGTCCCCTTCTTCTTTTGCCCTCAATCTTCCCCGGCATTAGGCTCTTCTCCAGTGAGTCCTTCCTACTCATTAGCTGGCCAAAGTATTTGAGTTTCATCTTCAGGATCTGGCCTTCTAAAGAGCAGTTAGGGTTGATCTCCTCTAGGAGTGACCAGTTTGATCGCCTTGCAGTTCAAGGAACTTGCAAGAGTCTTCTCCATGGTATTATAAGCTGTCCAATAATGAAACTATATGGATGGCTTCCAATGCAAGTTAAACGCAAATTGTTGCAAAAATAAAACTGTAACATTGAATGTGACAATAGACTCCTGGCGTAGTCCAAAAGATACTCCAGTGACTAATCAACATCAAGATGTTCCCATGAACCCCTTGCCTTATCTGCAATAAGAGCAAATGTGGCATGATGTTGTATTGCAAATTATACCAATTGCATTACTTTTTTTTCATTTTTGTGATGGCATCATGACCTATGGGACATCAACATGCCTTCTACTGGAAGGCATGTCACTGGCCTCTCTGTCACTGGCCCAAGGACAGGCATAGGCCAGCAGCAGGAGAGATTTTTTTCATGCCACATGAAACAGATTCATGAAGGAATCTTGCACTTAAAATGCTCTTTCACCTCAGATTCTGTTGAAATTAATGGGTTTGAAAAAGTTTATAATTCTCTCCTGGAACTCTGGCCACAAATGTTGTAGTTACCTCATGGGGTGCGAATATGCACACTGCCCTTAGAATTAATGCACACACACATTCTGAAAATATCTACCCATACATAGTAATACTAAGCTCACGGTGTATATTACTGCTGAATTGATCCAATTATTTAACAGTTCTGTATGCCTGTTTGTTTTCACAAGCTACTCCAAAGGCAATTGAAAAAAAAAACAAGCTTGACTATAATACAACAATCATGGATAAGCCAAGGAAGTTAGTTTGTGTGGGCGGCCATACAAATCTTTTAAATAAATAAAGTAATTTAATAATTAATTTTATTTGGCTTTATCTTTTCATCTACAGCTCTTAACAGTCAAAGTTCTCTAAGTAAATTTAGGCATGGGAGTGGGTTTTAAGCTAAAAATGTATTTATAAAAGGATATAAAAGACTCTTTTGTTTCCTAAGTATTTGCAGAAATTGAGTTATTTATGTGGAAATATGGGTGGTCTGCTATAAAACACTTTAACCACTGAATTAAAGACATGTATAGGATATTTTTGGACAGTGGTCAGATTAAATGTTTAAAATGAGAACAGATGTTTAATTACTTTTGACTGTGAATGTCAGCATACCAGAATTCTCATCATACAGTGCTTCCTAGCTGCCAGTATATTTTTACTTAACAATATTAGCATTAAAGTAATCATCAAAGAATGAAATGGAAGAAATTGAAAAAAATGAACTTTTCTACGAGTGTGCAACCAAAACTTTCCTACTCCATTTCTTTAAATAATATTTAAAGAGGTATATTCAAAAGAATATCATAGGATTAATAATTTTACACTTTTAAAATTGAAGATAGATTAACAACAATTAGTATATGCTTAATTGTTCTAAGCAGAAAAAAAGACAGTTAAGCATTGCTTGCAATATAAAAATAGTCCTCATATAAGTTTTAATTATTATTTCATGTGTAGTTAATAAGCCAAGTAGATTTTTAATAGAAAACACACACTTATCATAGTATGTACACACACATATATATGTATTTATTATACATTTATACCACTTGAGAGTGAGTTATACTGTATTGCTCTTTATTTTTATTCCCAAACCAACAATTCTGTGAGATAGCGTGAGCTAAAAAGAGATAGTAGCTCAAAGTTATCTAGGGATTTCTATGGTTAAGTGGAGAGTTGCTGAGAATCTGAACTGTAGCTGCTTGCAGTAACCAACTGCAGACTCTCAGCTATGGCACAATTTTTAGCACTAATCCTGTCAGGAGCCACAAAGTGAAACAAGGGTTTACAAAATGCTGTTGGTTCACATCAATAAGTATGAATAAGTGAAGTACTTATTCACCACATTTTACAAGTTGGCCACGCCCACCCAGTCACATGGCTGGCAAGCCACTCCCACTCGGTCACATGGCCGGCAAGCCACTCCCACTTGGTCATATGGCCAGCAAGCCACTCCCACAAAGCAGGCCACATCTACAGAATAGGTTCTAAAAATTTTTGAAACCCACGACTGAATTGCGGTAATATGGGGCTGCATTAATATCTGGTGGAGAGTATTGCACAAGGTGGGAGCTACTGCAAAGGAGGTTGCTTCAGCCCCATCAACCTTACAAAGAGATGAAGGCCTTCATTTTGGCAGGCCTTCTCTAGGTGACCAGACAAGATGGGTAGATTCAATTCTGTCAATGTATGTTTTTGATTCTCCCAGTGCTAACTGACCACTACTGGAACTCAAAACTAAACAATTCATCTAAAAAAGATCTCAGTAATAATTAAGCAGAGATAGCAATTCAAATCTCAGACATAATCTAAGTAGCCACTGTACTAAACTCTGTGATAATGCAAGCCACTCTAAACTTACTGCAATAGGACAGAGCCTTAAAAAGCTAAAATATTCTTTCTGGAATAATTGCTATTCAACATCTGCTAAAAAAAAATTACTGTAGGTTATATGATTAGCCAGATTAACAATAATATACACCACGACCAGATCAAGTCCCGACAAAAAAAATGATAATTTTTTTTTCACGGCCAATTTCCCCTTCTGCGCCATTTCTTTTTAAGCACCAAATTTCCAAAATTAGGTTTGGGTCATGACCAAATCAGGTTGTGACCAAAGTTATGAAACAAATTATGGTTGTGACCAGAGGTAACAAATTATGGTTGTGACCAGAGGTTCTACTGTATATCCTGCAATGAGCCGAGGTGGCGCAGTGGTTAGAGGGCAGTACTGCAGCCACTTCAGATGACTGTTAGCAGTTCAGCGGTTCAAATCTCACCTGCTCAGGGTTGACGCAGCCTTCCATCCTTCCGAGGTGGGTAAAATGAGGACCCAGACTGTGAGGACAATATGCTGACTCTGTAAACCGCTTAGAGAGGGCTGAAAGCCCTATGAAGCGGCATATAAGTCTAACTGCTATTGCTATTGCTAATACTGCATTCTGCCCACGGTGGGGTAGTGGTTAAAATGCAGTATTGCAGGTTGTGTCAANTCCAACATGCACATATGCACAGACATGCACGCGCATTCCGGTTTGGGCACTTGGTGCTGAAAAGGTTCGCCATCATTGTCTTAGGATAGTGTTTCTCAACCTTGGCAACGTGAAGATGTCTGGACTTCAACTCCCAGAATTCCCCAGCCAGCAAATGCTGGCTGGGGAATTCTGGGAGTTGAAGTCCGGACATCTTCACGTTGCCAAGGTTGAGAAACACTGTCTTAGGATGTATTTTAGTCACTTTATCATTTACATGTAGTAAAACCTGTCCCTCATTTATTCAACCATTGAATAGACATACCAACTTCAGGTAGTAAATGAATAAACATGCATTCTTAAAGCCAGATAATTTTCTCTTCTGAGGTGTCTAGTGTCACCAACCAGCACAGACTGGTGGTACCAAAAATAATTAAAAACAAATGATGTGCTAATGATGGGATTATTCAAGTGGAGCAAGCCAAAACTGCTCCATGCCTTCATTGTGGCTTTTTTGCTACATCTCTGCACAAATGCCGTGTGGCCTGCAATTCCAGTGAAGTTTTCAAACCTAAAACCTTTCATCTCTTCAGACATGTTTCTGATTGTAACCATGCCTTTCCTTTAATGCCAGGACCAATTCACTTGTCCAGATGAATATGAGGACCCTGCTATTCTTTATGATGCAATTCAGTCCTTTGAAGAGAAAGTTGTGATTTGTCATGAAGGAGATCCTGCTTGGCGCAGTGCCATCCTCTCAAATAAAGAAGAGCTCCTTACTTTTAGGCATGTGGTAGAAGAAGGAACGGACGAATATAAAGTTATAATGCTCCACAAAAGCTATTTAAGCTTCAAAGTAATCAAGGTACCACTACCTCTGCCTCATGTTCATTATCTGATGGTTTACATTCATAGCTGTTGTATTTAGAATTTATTTCCATTCTAGCTAGGTAAGTCTCTTGACAGAGTGGCATAGCATAGATTAGAACTGGGATCTAAAGGCCCTTTAACTGCAGGGTGGCAAAGTGATGGGAACAGCAGTTTCCAAGACCAGAATTAATATTTGGATAAACAGGCATGTCATTGTTTTTGTTTCCTTATTTTTAAAAGCATTTTATCAACAGAGAGGACAAGGATCATAGTTTTATTATTTTTATTTCAAAGAAACTGGTTTGAATGGCTATTGAAATGAGCCTTCCATCTGCATTAGATCAGTAAATTCTAACTTAATTAGTGGAGCCACTGCCCAGAAGAGAACATACATGGGAACCCTTGTTTGAACCATTGCCCTAAAAATACCTAACCACAGAATGACTAAAACATACTATGATTTATAGTTGTCATATTTTCTGTGTATATTTCTCATGTAATAATCATATAGCAATACAGGTAGTTCTCACATAACAGCCCAGAATTTCAGTTGCTAAGCAAGACAATTGTTAAGTGATTTTGCCCCATTTTACCACCTTTCGTGCCACAGTTGTTATGTGAATAACTGCAGTTGTTAAGCTAATAGTGCAGTTGTTCAGTGAATTTTGCTTTTCCATTGACTTTGCTTCTTACAAAAGATGATCACATAACTCTAGGACACTGCAGCTGTCATAAGTACATGCCAGCTGCAACACATACAAATTTTGATCACATGACCATGGGAATGTTGCAATAGTTGTAAGTCAAACAGTCACTAAATGAATGGTTGAGAACAACCTGTAGTCTAGGAGTGAGCATGTATGTATGAATATAAAGCAACAGTGTTCAGTTCACTGTTGAACATGACTTGTTAAAATGTCTATAGTTCTCAGATGCACAATAAGTTAACCTATGCTCATTTTAGCCTTCATTTTAGATTACAGTGTCAATAGATCCTGGGTTCTTTTGGCTCCTCTTTCTTTTTTCAAGATTGACCAGGAATCAAGAGATGATGAGAAAATAAACTTTTATATCCAACAAAACTAAAGCATTGTCATACACCTGAGCTGTACCATGCCATTCATTTTTCCATAGTGATTTTCCCACTGAAGGGTACATTCTTCCACACTCCAGCCTGGCCCATTTAACATTGGTCCTTTTTCAAACACTGAAAGAAAAAGTCTGTACCTTCATGGGGGTGCAGTGGTTAGAGTGCAGTACTGCCAACTACTTCTGCTGACTGCTGGCTGGCTGCCTGCAATTTGTCAGTTCAAATCTCACCAGGCTCAAGGTTGACTCAGCCTTCCGTCCTTTCAAGGTGGGTAAAATGAGGACCCAAATTGTTGGGAGCAATATGCTGACTCTGTAAACCACTTAGAATGGGCTGTAAAACACTGTAAAGCAGTATATAAGTCTAAGTGCTACATCATCTCCTCTGCTTAATATAAATATGTTTCTCATAACAGAAAATGACCCCCACTCCCGCCTCTAATTGTCCGTAGGAGGTGTGGGAGAACATACAACAGGCCCAGCACTTTCAGATGGCCCTGTGGCCTTGAAGTAAGCAACTCTGCAGTGCAAAAAGCAGGTGGATTGCAACACCCATCCATTTTCTCTCCAAAATATTTCCACATGGTTGTACTTTTGTTTGTTTTTAGGTTAACAAGGAATGCGTCAGAGGGCTTTGGGCTGGACAGCAACAGGAACTGATTTTTTTACGCAATCGTAACCCAGAACGAGGCAGCATCCAAAATAATAAACAGGTGTTGAGGAATCTGATTAACTCTTCATGCGACCAGCCTCTGGGATACCCCATGTATGTTTCTCCTTTGACAACATCCTATATAGGGACTCACAGTCAGCTGAAAAATCTCTGGGGTGGACCGATAAGTCTCCACAGCATCAAAAGATGGTTCAGAAACAAATGGCTTAGGTAAGCACAAAGTGGGCTCATAACCAGAAATCTTTCATTGCATCTAAGCAGATATTTTAAAGGACATCTTAGGGCTCTCAAAATACAAGATAGATTTTTTAATGAGAACATTAAGTGAGACATGCTGCCTCCTATTTCCACTGTGTAAAATAGTATTTATTTATTCATTCATTTATTTTATTTACTTGATTGCTACAGCCGTGCAACTCAGCGAATTACTCTGGGCAGCTATACAAATCAATTACTCTTAGGTAAAGTTACTTAGGTAAAGATAAAGGTTCCCCTCGAACATATGTGCTAGTTGTTCCTGACTCTAGGGGGCAATGCTCATCTCTGTTTCAAAACCGAAGAGCCAGCACTGTCTGAAGACGTCTCCTTGGTCATGTGGCCGGCATGACTAAATGCTGAAGGCACATGTGACGCTGTTACCTTCCCACCAAAGTGGGTTCCTATTTTTGAACTTGCATTTTTACATGCTTTTGAACTGCTAGGTTGGCAGAAGCTGGGACAAGTAATAGGAGCTCACTCTGTTATGCGGCACTAGGGATTCAAAGTGCCAAACTGCCGACCTTTCTGATCGACAAGCTCAGTGTGTTAGTCATTGAGCCACCACGTCCCTGGAGCTACTATCCATTTAAATTAGATCAGCAACCAAACACTGATTTGCCTCTCTTTTCCTTTCTTAGGTAGTTGTAAGACTTATATGCACATCCTCTTGTGCTCCTCACAGCTAGTTTTGCTGTTTTCCAGGAGCTCTTCGTTTTAGAAGCTAAGCACAATAGAGATGCACCCATTCCTATTGTATTCTCATTGCATCCGGATTGAGCTGAACATCCTACATATTCAATGAACATGGTGCCTTCACTATATTGAAAGAAATTCACTGTGATAGTATATAGACAGAGTTCGGTAGAAACTATATATACAGTTTATAGGAACTCACGTGCTTTCAAATTTTCTGAATTTTTGTATAACCTTTTCACTGAATTTGCTCTACAATAAGCTAGTGGCAAAGATTTGTAAAACTTGACAAACACAGAAAGGAGGCAAGTACTTTATTGTAGAACAGAATGTACCTCGAGAGGAATGTTGTTTTTTTCATCCTCTGTGGCTCCATCCTTCTCCAAATACCAGCTATTCTGCTCCTTCCAGCAACATTGCAGTATTTTATAATTTAGATGGACTGAGGGTAAAATACCGTGATGCAGAATCATCTGTTACCACACTGTTGACGCTGAACCAAATTCGCCTTTGACAAATAACAAAGTAATGCATTTGATCAAATGACGTAAGCTGCAGAATTTGTAGAATCTATTCTACTTGCAGTTAATTTCTTGATTTACTATGGAAATGGTTTATAGGTTTAATAATGACATATGAAATAGCCAGGCAAATTTGTCACGTTAAGATTTTTTTTTTCAGCATGTGATTTTTCAGAATTAAACGGGGTGTCAAACTGGCAGCCCACGGGGCTGGGTGCGTCATGTGCAGGCCACACCCACCCCAGCTCCGCAAAGGGGAAAAATGATGTGATACGTCACATGGGGGCAATGTGACGCCACCAGTTTGACACCCCTGAACTATCTGGATCAGTTGAAGAATTTTGCAACGGTCAGAAACAGAAATTTCTAGAAACAGAAATAAAAGAGATCCTAAATGACTCATATTCTACAAATTAAGAACCAAAATGGACCTCCCAACTTTTCCTGTGATTATTTTCAGTGAGGATAATAACAACATAAAAAAAGAAGGATACATTTCAGGGCGGGAAATGCAGGCCTTCAATATCTTTATTCCCTATGCTTGCACTCTACTTATATTCTGAACATGGCTGCATAACTTTTTAAAAAAATAAATAGCTTGTCCTAGTATGGGATTTCTACATCACACATATTGGTAGTGCAGATCATAGCATGGGATCTAGTGTGGTTTAGTGATTAGAGCAGAGACTGGAGACCTAAAATCCACCAAATATTGATGAAAAACAACTATCTTAACCCTAATACTTGCCATTGATGTTGCTGACTGGAGCTGTTTGGGACTGACAATTGTAGTTCAGCAATATTTGGAGGTACCACACTAGATTAGAATGTGAAGCTAAGGTCAGGATCAACTTTCCACTTAGCCATGCATCTTATTGGCTGATTTTCATCCACTTACAAATTTTGATCTAAACTAGCTCTGAAAATAAAATGTGGAAAAAAAATGACTAAGTACTGAGCTGCTTAGAAATAGAAACAAAGAAAAATGTAGGTGGAAAAAACTGGCAAGATTTATGTCCCAAGTACACATTCCATTACCACTGTGTTTCAATGCTGCTTTTTATATAAAATATTTCAGTCATATACAGTGGAATATTTAATGTGCAACTTGCACAGATCATTGCTATTATTGGCCAAAATATTTCCTGTTTCATATGAGCCTAAAGCTGACAGAGATATGTCAATGAATATCTGCCTTTTCCATAATTTTACAGAGAAATGTAAAGCAATTCTGAGAGTAAAACTTTCTGTTGCATTTGTCAAAGAACGGCCCTTCTGGTCCAGCACTGTGCTCCCACTGTGGAAAACAAAGACATTGGAAGCAAAGGCAAAACACCACCTTGCTTATGTTCCCCAGAATATGACCCTGTATTCTTGTGCTCCTGACTATTTCTTTTCTAACAGAATGCGGAAAGACTGTAATCCAAACCACAGTAGTGGAAGCTGTGAGGAAGCCAGCAGGAATGGATCTTCCAGCAGTAATCCAGCTAATAATTCAAGCCAGAGCAGCAGCTCCCAGCATACAAGGAACAGCACACCCCAATTGCACCCTTCCCTTCAGGTTGCTCAATTCTCAGGTACTTATCTTCAGTTGCATTTATTCCCTGGCAGAAGGGTATTATGTTGTTGTTAGTTGCAAAGTCATGTCCTACCTATTGTGACCCATGGACAACGTTCCCCCAGGCCTTCCTGTCTTCTACCATCCTCTGGANTGTTGTATTTGCAATCTTTTGATACTGACGTATCAGTAGAAGGTAGAATGCTAGCCTTAATAATTATCTTGCTACCTTGGACCCCAATGGATTTAGTAAATTGATGGCATGACCTTCTGTGGACTAATTCATTAAGAGTTGTTGAGGTGGATTGGAAATGCAAGTATTTCATCAGCCACGTTCTTGTTGTAAGCATAGCACTAATTAATAGCAACCACGCATATGCAGTATCATTGTGAAGGTCTCCTGGCAATCAGGGAACATGCCGGGAGGCCCTTACGGATTTTACTTACTTACACACACACACACACACACACACACACACACACACACACACACACACACACACAGAGATTGAAAAGATAGTGTTTAAATAATAGTGGGATAATAAGATGGTGTATTAGGTTGTACTCATCTGCTGTTCTTCTGTGCCTGTTTAATTCACTCTTATGTGGCCCAAGGATTGAGGCTGAAGTAGTAATTCCTATAGCAGCCCCGTTTTCCATTTAACAGCTTCATCTCTTTTTCTGCATGAGGATAACTGCAAAACAGCTGATCAGCCAAAATTAGTTGAGTCCTTCTTTATCACTGGCAGGGTTATAATGTTCAAATACCAAGGTGGCACTGTTAAATTTGTCATGTGAAGTTAGCTTTAGAGTTGAAATAGGGTTGAATTAGACATAGCTAAATAATCTACCCCGTTTCCCTGAAAATAAGCCCTCCCTGAAGATATTGCAACATAGCAGCAGCCATGAGATAACCATGCTCACCGCCTCCTGCACCTAAAAAAATAATAAGACCTCCCCAAAAATAAGGCGAAGCGCTTATTTTCGGGGCCAAAAGAAAATAAGACCGTCTTATTTTCGGGGAAACATGGTATTGATTTCAATTGCGTTACTCTAAATAGGGTAGGGAATTTGCAGCTTTCCAGATGTTGAGTTAATCCGCATAAGCTCCGGATTGAATGACCAATAATTTGGGATGGTTGACATGGCAGTTCTGAAATTTGAAGAAACATAGACCTAAGGCTTGGATCCTCTATCTGATATGTCTCTTACCAGTTAAACATAGCCAATAAAACAATGTACATATTTTGATCATAGATAGGACTAAAAAATAAAATGGCCATATAGCTGGGGTATGCTTAGTTCCAACGAAGTTCCCTAGCCTTAGCTTTTCAATTTGCTTTTGGAATTATTTTAGAGCCGTGGCGGTGCAGTAGTTAAAATGCAGTAGTGCGGGCTAATTCTGCCCACTGTCAACAGTTCAATCCTGACCGGCTCAAGGTTGACTCAGCATTCCCTTCTTCCGAGGTTGGTAAAATGAGGAGCCAGATTGTTGGGGGCAAGAGGCTGACTTTGTAAACCACTTAGAGAGGGCTGTAGAAGCACTGTGAAGCGGTATATAAGTCTAAGACGCTGTGGCTATTTTAATACATTGAATAAAAGCTAATTAAGCCACTTGCAGAGCAACAGACTCAACCAGTTAGCTTTCATGGTATTCCTTTACAATTAAGTATTTAATTGCATATGATCTCTATTCATTTTTAGTGTAAATGAGATGACAGAAGTCTGTGAAAGAAAAAGAGAAATAGCTATTTTAAAAAGGGAGTGTGAAGCTGCACTAATGTCTGTCCTGCCTGATTGCAACTGACAGATTTTCTAAATCACGAGGGCATCCATAGTTTTGTAACAAGTTTTCACAAAGATTTTTTTTCTTGACTGCAAAGTTTGTGTGGCATTGCAACTTGACAACCACGTGAAAGCACATTGGATTTTCTTATTTCCTATAGGTTTATAGGGCACATACAAGGTTCATTATCTTCCTTGTTGATAATAAATGTGCCGAATCTAATCATAAATGTGGTTGCCGGGCATGTTTACTAATGTTTTGGTAGGAGGTTATTTTGAAGAGTCTTATTTATTGAAACTGAATTATTAATCAGTTCATTCACTTGGTAAATGCAAACAATGTTTCAAAATTAAAAGGAAAAATTAACCCAGCAAGATTAGTTCAACAGTAATAGACCGCACAGGAAAAACCCAAGGAAATATCTGATATATTGTAGTTCAAAAGCCACATTCCGTTTTGAAAAAGCTTCATAGACTCAGCTTGTGATCTTAACTCTAGAAAACAAAAGCAAAATAGATTTTTCTGTGTTCCTTGCCCAGCTTCCTCATTCAACAACGAACAGTGATGCATTTGAAAAGTTTGCCCAAGTTAAGCGTTCGTATTTCAGGGATTAATGCTGACATTCTTCACTGAAACTGTTTGACTTACAACCATTTGTTTAGTGTCTATGCAGAGTTACGACAGGGCTGAAACCAGGGACTTCCACCCGCTTGCATTTAGGACAGTTGCTGCCTCCCATGGTTTGCAACCTTCCCAGTCAACTTCCTACAAGTGAGATTAATGGGACATCCAACAGGGAAGGTTGCAAATTGCCATCATGTGATGTCTTGCATAACACTACTTGATAATGAATTCTCCAGTCTCAATTGCATTGTAAATTGAGGATTTCTCTCTCTGTCTTTCTGTCTCTATCTCTGTCTCTTTCTGTCTCTGTTTCTCTGTGTGTGTGTGTCCATCTCTCTCTCTCTCTCACTCTGTGTGTGTGTGTGTCTTTCTCTCCCTCTTTTTCTATCTCCATTTCTCTGTCTCTGTCTCTCTTTCTCTGTCTCTGTTTCTGTCTCCATCTCTCTCTCTCTCTCCCCCTCCCTCCCTCCCTCCCCCCCTCTCTCTGTTTCTCTGTGTCTGTCTCTCTTTCTGTCTCCATTTCTCTGTGTTTCTCTGTCTCTGTTTCTGTCTCCATCTCTCTCTCTCTCTCTCCCCCTCCCTCCCTCCCCCCCTCTCTCTGTTTCTCTGTGTCTGTCTCTCTTTCTGTCTCCATTTCTCTGTGTTTCTTTGTCTCTGTCTCTGTCTCTTTCACTCTCTCTCACACATACACAGTCCAGAAATTTCCCAGCTTCTTTGCAAGCTCATTTAAAGGAAATCTCATTTTTTTCAAGATATGCTCTGCCCCCACATGCGGGGGGGGGGGGGGAAGGTATTATCACTTAATTGATAAAGGCCTGTGCTTTCCATATTCTTTCAAGCAACTTCCATTGTTTTTAGCAAGGCTATTTTAAAGTTCTCTGATTATCTGGGTAGCATTTATGAGATCACCCAATTGAAAGGGCAGCCCCCATGTGCTGTAATCAGGTGTTAAAATAACCTCCCTTGCTGTTAGCAGAAGTTATTTTGAAGCCTAATTACTACCGATAAGCTTGGAAGCCCATTGGGGAGTATATTTTTGTGTGGTGAATTGAGCTCTCCGGAACAATGCCACGTAACCCCCCCCTCAATATATTGGATTGTGGTTTCTTCAGTCCCAGGGTTGTTTTTGTTGCTGTTAGTTGTGAAATCATGCCCGGCCCATTGTGACCCCCATGGACAATGTTCCTCCAGGCCTTCTTGTTCTCTATCATTCTCTTAAGCTCATGCTGACTGCTTCAGTGACTCCATCCAGCCACCTCCTTCTCTGTTGTCTCCTTCTTCTTCTTTTGCCCTCCATCGTTCCCAGCATGAGGCTCTTCCCCAGGGAGTCCTTCTTCCTTCTCATTAGGTGGCCAAAGGATTTGAGTTTCCTCTTCAGGATCTGGCCTTCT